GTGAGACATCATGCTCTAGCTTATTTAGCGTATACACAAACCTAACACCGCTGTCAGTCAAATGTTACAAACCACTCGGCACTCAGTGGCTTATGCGGTCAACATCACAGCGACTGCCTTTGCTTTCCAGGAAACTACCTGCACCCATTTTAGTCGGGGCGGACCTGAGAGCCAAGTTCAGTTGCTTTGTAAACATTCCGCTACGATGCGGACTCGATCCCAAGATGTTCGGGTTATCAGGCAAGTATCAAGCTAATACCCTAACACTAACAAAACGTTTAGCTGTATGCGAGTGTGTCCGCTCTTTCTCTCTCTCTCCTTTCTCTCCCTCTCTCTCTTCTCTCTCTCTCTCTCTCTCTCTCTCTCTCTCTCTCTCTCTCTCTCTCTCTCTCTCATTTTTTTTATAAAACCATAACATGCAATTGTGGTCTGAAAGAAGGATCGAATGTAAGAAAGGCCTGCATGCCCAGTCTGTAACCTTTTAAAAATTAAGTTTTTCGTTCGTTTGTTCGTTCGTTCGAGCACACTCTCTTCCCCGCCCCTCCTCACCCCCACTTCTCTTCATATTCCTTCTCATTGAGCATCATTGTAACATCCTGTATTGTGTTAATTAGTTCGTTAATTCCCGCTGGTCATCGCATATAGTCCTCATGTCAGATCACAGGTTGGAAGAACGTTTCTAAAATAAAACCCTCCCAAAGCGGACAAATGAAATGGTTCAAGGACACGTCTCATGGTCTCGTGGTACCTGGGAATTCTGGGTAGGTGAAAGTTCATCCTGGCACCCATCTCCCTGTCGGGGACCGGGGAGCGAAAGAACACTGTGTGACTCTAACTGCAGCAGCAGAAAAAAGACACAAATAAAGATGTAAACTTATTTCTCCAATTGATACGTTCCACATTCACAGCTGTCGGTGTTCAAGAATATTCCTTGCCCAAAACTGTCTTTTTTTAACCATATGTACAATTATGTCTTTGCACTGAACCCACAGAGGCATAAAAAAGATTAAAAAACAGACATTGGTCATCACATAATCATATCCCTTTACGTAATTTAAAAACCACACCCTGGCTGTTGCCAGGGCCCCTAATATAATCTAAAGGTTAACGAGGTTTTTGTGACCTCTCCATGGGTGATCCTCATTCGCATTGTGGCACTTTGTGTCACCGGTTGTTTATCGCTTGATGGATGTCCTGGTGTGGTTGAATTTCATTCATTCTTTGGCCATCATCACTTGTAGTGGGCGAAAAACATTTATTTGGGACAGAATATCGCCGGGTTTTTGTTTACAGCTACTTATTATGATAAGGAACACGCTAAAGACACAGACAGTCCCATAGCTGATACTGCGATAGTGTTTTGAAGTGTTTTCTTCTAGTTCTTCTTGTTCTTGTTCTTTTTCTTCCTCTTTTTTTTTCTTTTCCTCTTCCTTCTTCTTCTTCTTCTTCTTCTTCTTCTTCTTCTTCTTCTTCTTCTTCTTCTACTACTACTACTACTACTACTACTACTACTACTACTACTACTACTACTACTACTACTACTACTACTACTACTACTACTACTACTACTACTACTACTACTACTACTACTACTACTACTACTACTACTACTACTACTACTACTACTACTACTACTACTACTACTACTACTACTCCTCCTCTTCCTCCTTCTTCTTTGTATTCATCTGCTGTAAATTCTTTCTGAAAGTTCTAGATGTTCATTCATTTCCGGACTTTGATCTTATTCAGAATTTCAGTTTTGCATGTTTTGCGACACACTATACGAAGCCGGGTAGCCAATTTTCTTCTTGTCGCATTTCCTTCCCCTACAATTTCTAGAAAATTAGGAGAAATGTCTGGAAACTATTTGTGTTCGGCTGGGTCGGTATAAACTTCTCAAGAGCCAGAAAACTGACGTGGCAGGTAAACCGCTAATCACTAATAGTCATGCCACTTCAGTTGGATAAAGGACGTGAATTTATATGTTTTTTCTTCCAGATGTTACAGACAAAGCACAAAGATTTATGGCTACGATTTCTAAGCCAGTCACCTGCAGCCGACTTGAAACCGGGTTGTCGAGACTGTGAAACTAGGGTAACAACTCCACAGATACTGTCACACAGAAAAATGAATTAATCAGTCATCATACATATAGATCAAATAATCAGTCAGGTGCCGCCTGGATACTAAAGATTGGCTGCAATTGATCCCTAACCACTATTTGTCACTCTCTGCTGTTGGTCCATCTCCTAATGATGTCCTGTTACACACACAAACACACGCGCGCACGCACGCACGCACACACGCACGCGCACACACGCACGCGCACACACACACACACACACACACACACACACACACATATATATATATATATATATATATATAATATATATATATATTGCGGCGTCAGTTGCTAACGCGTTGCGAGTCTGACTCGTAATCTAACGTACCGCGATAGAAACCCACTGCTGGCTGCGTGGATTTTTATCGTGATATGGGACGTCGCAGGTCGACCCAGCCTCAAATGGGTACCAGGATGGGATGTCCTGGGAAAGTAAAGACGGCCGGCGTAATGCTGACCACATTACCCACTGAGTGCTGATTGGTCTGTAAAAATATGGGTGCTCTTCCCATATGCCCGATGCGCCTAAGGGCGTGTAAAGGGATCTTTACTTTACTTACTTACTTATATATATATATATATATATATATATATATATATATATATATATATATATTATATATATATATATATATATAAATCCACCTTTCGCTCTCTTTTTCCCTCCGGTATGGTGTTAAAAGAAAATGTCTTTTACCCTTTTACTTCCAAATAGTTGTGAGGTATACTCTTTCTATCCCATCGAACTGAGTTTAAAATTAACCAGTCATCATTATCAGTTTCCGTCTATACAGTTAAGCGTCATGGGGAGGAACAGTGTGCTATCCATTACTCGATGGACAGCATTGGCTGTTGTCAATCCGTGTAGATGTCATCAGTCCATTTTTCCTAGGGCGACCTCTAGTTTTCACATCAAATCTATTGATAGCGCTTGCATTGGTAGTAGTCCTAGCTGCATTCTTACTAAATGTCTAAACCACTAAATCTTCTGCTTTTCAGCGAATTTGTTGCATGAATCAATAGTATCGTGAAAATATAAAAATCAATAAACATCTGGGTATATGGGAGTTCATCAGATACAGGGAGCCGTATAAGGCGGGCTGCGTGGTCTCGAGGTATGGTGTCTGCCTCGAGTGCTAAAGGTCCCGGGTTCAAGCCCGAGTGAAGGCTGGGATTTTTTTCTGTTTACGTGGACTTATAGTAATTTCCCCTGGTCTCTGGGTAGTGAGATCGGACGCGCGTGAGTATTGTTGCGCACGCAAAAAATTCCTTGGCAGTTGGAAATCGAAAAGAGTAGTGTAATGGCGCTGCCCGGGCAAAATGTGAAGTTAAAAATGTAGTCAAAGTATTTAAGGATCCTCACCGGTGCTACGGAGCGCTTGCAAAGCTACTTCGGACTCAGACTTGAATTAAAGTACATGGAGCACTTAGGGTTCCTACCTGTGTGCTGTGATTTTGTTAAAACCGCAAACCGCTGTGAGGCATGAAGTATTTTTTAATACATTTTTATGAAGACAAAAAAGGTTAATACTGCACCTTCCTGTTGTAGAAGATAGCAAGTGCAGTTTTGTATAACGAGTGTTCAATTGAATCCAGTTCCATTTGCTTTATTACAAAAACAGGTACGGTAGAATTAAACAAAGCATTTATTTCGAATAAACTATGCACCGTGGCCTGGTAAAAAAAAAAAAAAAGTCGCCATAAGGATTCAGGCAAGTATCCTTTTGCTTAGCTAGACTACGTCTGCTGTCCGCACAAATTGTGACCGCTCGCTGAACCAAGTATTATCGTGCCAACATCCGTGATACTCAATGTTCCATCTTGTAGTTTCTTTTGAGCAATAACAATTGACATAATCAATTTTTCGTTTGGAAAATTTTTACCGACCAATCGGCACTAGGTGGGTAATGGGGTCAGCATTACGCCGGCCGTCTTTACTTCCCCAGAACAGCAATCCTGGTAACCAATTTAGGCTGGGTCGACCTGCGACGCCCCATACCATGATAAAGATCCAAGCAGCCAGCAGTGGGTTTCGATCGCGGTAACGTTGGAATTACGAGTCGGTCTCACAACGGCTAAGCCACGGACGCCGCATACATTTCACTGGTCGACATCATTTACATTAAAGAAACCGAATGGCCGCTCTCTGAGTTTTTTGTGTTTAGACCGATTTGGGATCACCCCGGTTATTTTCTTAACGGTCAAAAACAGAACCTATGCGTCACGGGACCACAAACACCTGTACTCTTTCATATATTGGTCAGTACTTATCACATGATTATGATGTGTCCATGATATGCAGTTACAGAATGCCGAACGAAGGGGTTTGAAATAAACGCTCCTTGGTAAAAGTAACATTGGTCTCACCACGTCGCGCCTATATACACACTAGCTCACTTCTGATTGGTTATTCCTGAACCTGTCACCTTGGCATAAGATTACGAGGGTGTTCCGCAATGCCGTTGATATCACGTATTGTATATTTCAGTATGCCAGCGCTTTTAACACTCACAAATCATAGAGAAACTGGTCCTAAGGCCCACACCCTTCCCCCTCCTAGAGAGTGCTGCAACCTATGTCACACGCATTCTCTTTCTCGGAATGAAAACGTAAATGCAGCACATCACAGAGAACAAACAACAGATCGTGACAAACTCGTAAGTTTTAGGTAAGTCGACCCCCCCCCCCCCCCCCACTTGTGAATTAAAAGTGACCTACTCTATTTGGGGAGATAAACGTGAACCTCTCCTCATATTTTGGGAAACATAAAAAAAAAAAAACTCGAAGAGCGTTGTTAAAACTAAAACAATTAACATGGTCGAAATAATTAACATAGAAAAAGGAAGTGAAAAAAAAAAAGATAACTATTTCTTACCTTCAAAGAGAAAACATTCATTCCAGTGAGGGTTGAGATTCTTTTTCTTGACTTTAGTTAAAAGTTTATGCTTCTTGTCGGGCAGCAGCATAATTTTCACATAAGGGTCACTAGTTCCGGTCACGTCTTTAGCAGGTAAGTCCTTGGCCTTGATAATCCGTAGTGTCAAAGTCATGGTTTGGAAATCGTAGATGAGTCCTAGTTGTAGGCTGCCTAGTTTGTAATCCACTCCCTCGACATAAGGCCCCGCGGCACCCTGCTCCACCACTTCGGGGTCCTCCATAAGCATACTGGCAATAGATTTGACGTTCTTCCACACGCTGGATTCCCCATCGGCCTTGTCTTCCTCGGAAGCAGATCTGCTTTGACTGTTGAGGCTAGCACCCTGGAACAATTACAAAATATTGAAATCAATTCTGTACGTAAATAACTTCTCGTTTTTTTAAAAAAGTGTTATTTTTTTTTACGTTATTGTAAATATTATCGAAATGGCTAAGTCTTTGCCCCCCCCCCCCCTAGAAAAAAATCATCCTGTCATTCAATTCAAGAGGGAATTCTCATTTTCCAAGATCCTCATGGTTCGTTGCTGGGGCTACAGTGTGCGTACTGTGTGCAAAATGTTTGGCAAGCGCCATCTTGTCCGACTAGATGCACACTAACACGCCCGCACTCTTTCTCGTACACACATACTTACGAACGTGAGCACACACGCACACGTCTGTCTGTCTGTCTGTCTGCATGGATGGATGGATGGATGCATGCATGGATGCATAGATGGATGCATGGCTGCATGGATGGATGGATGGATGGATGGATGGATGGATGGATGGATGGATGGATGGATGGATGGATGGATGGATGGATGTATGTATGTATGTATGTATGTATGTATGTATGTATGTATGTATGTATGTATGTATGTATGTATGTATGTATGTATGTATGTATGTATGTATGTATGTATGTATGTATGTATGTATGTATGTATGTATGTATGTATGTATGTATGTATGCATGTATTCATACACGCATCATACATACATACATGGTACATAAACAGCCAGACAACACAGACACATGGAAACCTGTGACGGCTAGGCTGACAAACGGATAGACGGACGGATAGAATGGCAGGCAGACAGGCAGGCGAACTGATGAACGAACAGCCTGACAAACAGTGTTAAAAGTGTTTTAAAAATGTATTTGAAGCAAAAAGTCACATATAAAAGGAAAAATACTGGTAGGGTGAAAAAAAAAACAAAAAAAGTAAAACTTACGCAGTTAATTCATATAAACAAATCTACAAATACCATTTAAGACAGAATCTTCTGGACTGAATTCAGCTGTCGAATAGAAAATTCGAATAAAAAGAAGTTATGTATATTAATGAGTTTGGTATCATGTCACAGCCGCCCTAAATTTGCTGTGCAATTAACAGACAGGCACAATTTGTGTATTTATAGCTTGATGGATTGGTCTGTCAGAGTTCTATTGCTGACTTGTCTCACTGACTTTTTCTAGACAACATTACATCAAGAATTATCTTTTTTTTGGCTGGATTTTTCTTTATATAAAATAAATAAATTAAAAAAAATGAATAAATAAACTCCTTGCATGTGTAATAGGGACAAGTAGTTTTTTTTTAAAGGGGAAAGGGTGGGGGGGGGGGGGCGGGCACGACAGGAAGATACTCCAGCCTCACAGGAATGTTGCATATAGCGACAAATTAGGGGTTTGTTGAAATCGGATGGGTTGTCCAAAAAGGTGAAAATATCGCAGCCTAGCGGTAAAGCACAAGACAACATGCCAACTGCTTTTTTTTTGTTTTGTTAGGTGCAAACGCAGAGGGTGCTAGCTGGATAGCGGTATCGTCCCGCCTGTCGGGTTTTTTGTGTACCATTGTGTGGTCATGTAATCGATACTTCGCTTATTCGAAATGTTCCTGAATACTTGCTGTTACTTTTGAAGGAGGGCCAACTAACTCTCACAGCACAGCAATAAAATCAGGCAATAAGTTCTAACCTTAAGTTTATTTCGAGGTTTTGAACAAAAGATCAACATCACGGCACACGGATAGTAACCCATAAGTGCTCAGTTCTTCTTCTAACTCATGTCTGAGTCCGAAGAAACTCAGCACAGTGTACAGGCTCTGTAGCACAGGCGAGAATCCTGAAATAATTTAGGGAGATTTTCAACATCCATATTTTTTGCCCGGGCAGAGCTGTTAGGCAACTCTTTTCGATTTCCAACTGCCAGGCGATTTTTTACGTGCTCAACAATGCACACGGGGGTCTGATCTCACTACCCAGAGACCAGAGGGAATTACTAGAAGTCCACGTGAGCGTGGATTTTTATCATGGTAGGGGGCGTCGCAGGTCGACCCAGCCTAAAATAGGCACCAGGATGGGCTGTCCTGGGAAAGTAACGACGGCCGGCGTAATGCTGACCACATTAATCACTAAGTACCGATGGTCTGTAAAAATATTGTCCTTCTTCCCATATGCCCGATACGCCTAAAGGCGTGAACAGGGATCTTTACTTCACTTTTCCAAGTCCACGTGAAAAGATCCCAGTGCTTACAGGGGATTGAACCCAGAACCTCCATGCATCGAGACCACGCAGTCGCCTTTAAAGTTTATTTGAAGGCATACCTACCTGGGGGGAAAGGGAGAGGGGGGTGGGAATTAAAATATTTGTGTGTTATCATCAGCTGGGTTCGATCCCAGCTGTGGGCAATGCGCCTTGCGTTGGTTTCGACAGTAGTATCAAGAAAGCCGACCTTCCAGAAAGCAATGGCAAACTACTGGACGTAAATTTGCCTAGAAAAATCACACAACAGCCAGGGGCTGTTGGGGTTGGTTCTGAAACGTTCTGTAAAGGATACGCAACGAACCTATCGTCAGCCAATGTTGTTAAAATAAAGCATCCTCATGTCGGTTTCGTAGGCGGTGAGGACTTGTGGGGTCCTCCGTGGTTAAGTGGTCAAGCCGTTTGCCTCTAACCCTGAAGGTCGTGGGTTGTTTCATGGCTGCGCTCTTCAGTTCACGAGTGCAATCGCTACGGAGATCTATGGGCATCGTCGCCGAAGCTATGGATATCGTGCTCTGCACGGTGCTTTCGGCAGGCGTTTCGCGGAGAGAGACTGAGCCAAATGGGATAAAATCCGGTGCAAAGAAGTCGATCCTCTCAACTTTAACTTTAGTGGGTTTCGTGGCTCCATTCTGGAGAACAAAGAAATTATCCATGACGCACTAACAGACATGTCGTAGGGTGCCACTAATTAGGGTGTTTTCTTTAAAGTCAGAGTGCATCCACCTGATAGGCAAGGGTCCAGCAGTCTGCATACAAAAATTAGATCTGTATAACGGATGTGCACGCAAAACTGCAGTTCTGGAACAAGACCAAGGTCCAGGAGTAGACGAACACCAGAACTTTTCCTACGGAGTTACTAGTCGGTGAACGTTAAGAATAAGAAGAAGCAGAAGAAGAAGAAGAAGCAGAAGCAAGAAGAAGAAGAAGCAGAAGCAGAAGAAGAAGAAGAAGAAGAAGAAGAAGAAGAAGAAGAAGAAGAAGAAGAAGAAGAAGAAGAAGAAGAAGAAGAAGAAGAAGAAGAAGAAGAAGAAGAAGAAGAAGAAGAAGAAGAAGAAGAAGAAGAAGAAGAAGAAGAAGAAGAAGAAGAAGAAGCAGCAGCAGCAGCAGCAGAAGAAAGAAGAAGAAGAAGAAGAAGAAGAAGAAGAAGAAGAAGAAGAAGAAGAAGAAGAAGAAGAAGAAGAAGAAGAAGAAGAAGAAGAAGAAGAAGAAGAAGAAGAAGAAGAAGAAGAAGAAGAAGAAGAAGAAGAAGAAGAAGAAGAAAAAGAAGAAAAAGAATAATAATAATCATAATGAGAAGAAGAAGAAAAAGAAGCATATCGAACTAATAGGAAATGTAGTGAAAAGATGTTAACACGAACTGTAAGAGACCGAAAAAACGAGGAGTTCTTGTTAAAAAAAAGCTAACCAAAGTTTAATACTAAAACATCCCTGCGGGCACATACATTTGTCTCATGTTAATCGAGTGTTTTTTTTAATGCGAGTTCGTGTTAACGAGATATTACTGAGCAGATGTTTAACTTTAGCGATAAGACAACAGAAAATATCAAGATTTAATCTTAATTCTATCGCAAAATCAACAAAAGATATTCAAACTGATATTTAGTGTTACTCTCGAAAACCCAATAAGGCTAACCCTGTTAACAAATGCACGCAGAAGTCAGATGTGTCGGCAGGCAGGCACAAATATCGCAGCCATGCTATGAAGTTTGAACAATGAATCAACATCATGGCACATGGGTAGTAACCGATAAGAGCTCCGTTCTTTCTTCTAACTCAAGTCTGAGTCAGAAGAAGCTCAGCACAGTGCACAGGCTCTGTAGCACCGGTGAGGCTCCTGAAATACTTTGGGTAGATACTATAAACGGTCACAACGCAGTTACATCTTCAGATGAACGCAAGAAGAATATGAAGAATAGCATAAAGACATCAATACCTGCAGATATTTACCATGATACACTCAAGGCAACAGAAAAGGAAAGGTCTTTCCCACCTAGTGTTTAGATATAAAACATACCTACATTCCAATTATAATGTTAAAACAAGTAAAGGACCCTTTTCTCGACAATGGGCATATCAGCCGTATGATGTTAGACTCGTATCTGTTGGACTAATTGGCACTCGATGAATGATGTGGCCAATATCACGCCGGCCGCCCTTACTTTCCAGGAAATATCTTGGTACCAGTTATATTATGGGTTAACAAAGGAGTCAGGATTACTTTTGAAAAAAAAAAAAAAAAAATTAATTCGAACTGATTCGAAGCCATGAGAGGAAGAGATCGGCGTTTGTATAATCAGTGTATATAATCAATCTACGAGAACAGTTAGCATCTACACCTTACGTCATTTGCTGCGGAAGACAGAGCATCTATGAGTATGCCCGATGTGCTATGATGTCGATTCTTAAATCAGAATCATATTCGAAGCCAAAACATTCGGGTCGACCAGCGAGCGTCTAGTAATGATTCTATTTTTAGAGAAACATAATATTCAAAACTATAGTCCATTCAAGAAATCGTGCCCAGCTTTAAAAATCTGTAACTCAGTAATCGTTGTGTTAACTGGTTGAAATTTTTTATGCAACCTGTTATTAATCATGTCCTTCTATGAATTTCTTTGAAACGTAGACACAAATCTAGTTTTTTTTTTATACATGGAAAGAAAAATGTCGATTTAAAGCTAAACAGTCAGCATGCTTACAGTAAACTGAGTAACCGGAATATTTAAAACATCAAATTGCACGCGTTTTATAGGCGTGTCACTCTAGGGTACTCATCTCCAGGATTACTTTCCCGTGAGTTAAACGAGCACAATTAATTTTCTTCATTGTATATGTATTGCTACACAAATGATTCCAAACAATTTCCTCGCTGTGTAAATTACAGTAAATTATAATTTTTAAGGGGTACACAAATTATTAGTCAAACACAGATAAACGAAATTGGCCGCTTTAAGAAAACAGCAGCACCTGTCCAATTGTTTATTATAAAACCATAACGGCATGAGAAATCTAAGGCCAGAGGCAAACAATTTGTGTTAGTCTGTCCAAGAGTTTTCGTGGTATTTGTTTAACTGTTATGGCACGACGTTTAAACTAACTATAATCTACAATGTTTTAACAGCATTATAGGGCCTCTGTACAAACCAGTGTGCTAGAGGTCCCTGCTACGATAATCATTCACAGGAATGCAACTAAAACGAAAATGGCGAGTCACTTGACGTGCAGACATTAGAATGGGGCCATGCTCTCGTGAGACCCTAGGGGAGATGCCCAGTGTGCCTAAGCGCTAAAACGGAACTGACCAAATTTTCTCACAATGAGCATTAGGATGTAGATGGACACAGTAGGCTAATGTTGGAAAATGTATTAGATACACATTCTCTGTTAGACATCTGTTACACAAAATGGTGTTAAGAATATCGATGCAAATGTGATCGATTAAAGGTTTAGATACTAGCTCCCTGGTAGATCTATCTCGGGATGTCTGCACTGTTGTAACCGTTTTGTATAATCGATTTGCCAGTCTGAATATGCAGATAACTGAACATAATAGTACTTTGGTAAAGAATGTGCTCATATATTTGAGGCAAATGTATATTAGTGTCATAAATAAGGTGCCGTCTCCACAATAAAGGTTGACTGAAATTGATCTTCACAATTCTGTTTTCGCCCTGTTGTAGACTTTCTTAAACTGTTCTTCGTTCATCTCTGTTTTAATCCCCAATTTGTACTGTTTTTTACCTCTTGCTTATCTTCTTTCAACGTGTCTATTTAGTGTAGGTTTCAAAATAATGTTATTTCTTTAAAGTGGGCAAAATACTTCACTAAATTCTACCAACAATAGCCCCGTTCATTATGAGTATTTATAAAACGTCTGCGTGTAGCTACGTTTGCTCAATGAAATACAACATACTCTCGTATATATATATATATATATATATATATATATATATATATATATATATATATATATATATATATAAGCATCAACAAGGTCCTAATTCGATATTATAATATTCGTTAGTAAATTAACTTCAATTTTATTTCAAGCCACAAAGAACACACCATTCTAAGCCATAACATTTCGTAAATGAAAACGACTTACTCCAAAGGTTGCTTTACCCTCTGTTCGCGGTATTCCATTTCTTTCAGGCGACTGATTTTCGTCAAAGAATGATCCCAGAGAATCTAAACCAACATCTTTCAGAAACTTCTTCATAATAAGAGTTCCTGTTTACCAAGCATGTGGCGGAAAAGATAATGTTATTCATGCCATACGGTGAATATGTCTAGAATTTGTTGTAGCATCTTACGTTCTTGAAATTAAAATCACTTGTTTGAAGACAGTAAAGTACATGAAATGATTGTCTATAATACAAAAAAGAAAAAAAAAAAGAAGAGAAAAACAAAACAAAACAAAACAAAACAAGAAAAAAAAAAAAAAAAAAAAAAAACACCAAGAAAAAGAAGAAAAGAAAAGACAAAAGGTGCTGCTGGTAGAATTGCTAGAACGGTAAGTTCTCATGCAGGAGACCCAGGTTCCATCCATAGTAAGGGGTGGATATTTGTTTCATGTCAAAGGCACAATAAAAGTCCTGTCCTGCACAGTTTGTAGCGAGTGCACTAGCCATGCTACCCAAAACCACCGATACCACACCACCAAGTGGTCAGTCTGTCAACATTTTATGGTCTACACATTAGCTGTTAAAACATCCATCCCTTACTGAGGATCAAGTCTTCCGCATAAAACAAACGCATTATCCTCTCAGGCAATCCGCTTCTATTCATCGTTTAAAAATTTTTTCTCGCGTACAAAAGTACCAAAACATCCAGTCACAATGGAAGAATTAAATGTAGCTATGTTTTGGAAATATCTGGTTTCAGACTTAGGCACACTGCCGGCCAGTCCTACGCACGTACATGCATATATGTTCTAACACACAAGCCAGCACTGTACAGGCACACTTATAACTATACACTAACATGGTAATATATATATATATATATATATATATATATATATATATATATATATATATGGTTGTATATATATATAAAGAACTATCAGCGAGTTTTAGTTAAATAAGTAACAGATTCGCCACTGGAATTCACGGATAATTCATCATCGCAAATCAAATATTTAAACTGTGGTTTGAACGGTAACTGAAGAAGAAGGTAAATCAACGAGACAAGAACAGACTGTGTGGGATATGACTTCAGATCAATAATTCAATAAAGAGACACACACAAACAAAATATGTACATTGTCTTCCACAATGTCTACACATGTTTGCGTCTAGACTACACTGACACTATGTGTTTCCTCGTGTGCATATTCTTTGATTGATTCCTGTCACTGAAAGTCAGATCTATCATTTCTGTAAGGAGGGATCTTTGTTTTAATTCTCTGGTTTCACAGTTCACAGAGGTCATGGTACAGGAGGCTTTGAAGTATGAGTAAATGACTTTATTGCATAACGATGTCTTTAAAGAATTTGAGTCCCATTTCATACAGCAGGTAAGGGTTAGCACTTTCCTCTTTCTTCCCCCTGTTTCTTCCTCGTTACTTCCTACATGTTCTTGGCCTCTTCTTCCTTCACCTTCCTTCTTCAGCTGTTTAACCATCATCATGATCATATTATTATTTTCTTCACCACCACCACCACCACCTCCTCCTCCTCGCCTTCCTACTCCTCGTGGAGGCAGTCACTGCAACCTTCGCTGACTTGAGAACAGCGTACGTATATGTCATAACTGTAATAGCATACAGAGCATGCTGGGAGAGATGACAAACAGTGTACTCCGTGTAGAGTGGCAGCGTCGTTTCAGAGGTCCTGGGTAATTAGTGTCCTTTAGATATTTCCTCCAGGAGATGTCGGTGTATTAGGAAATGAACAGGCAAAAAGGCTGGTTGGTTCTGTACAACTTGATAAATGACAAGCTAGATGTTGTAATCCTTCTGTGGGGGAGAGTGAACAGTGCGGAGGCACAGATGGATCATCGCGGTCTGAGGAGAATGGTGCTTTTAGGAGTGACCAGGAGATCTGGTCGACGATCAATACGCAAAGGAAAGTTGAGACGGATGTACAGTCAGACTGTTACTGGTACCATAGGAATTGAAACTCTACGCTTGCTGCTGAAGATAGGTACGGAGCACTTATGGGAATGTCCCGATTGCTGTGATGTCGATTCTTAATTAAACATGAATGAAAGATTAATTCAACGACATTGGACTAATGTAATATTTTTAGCTTCTTTAGGTTACCAAAGTTGAGACGAAGATCTTAGGAAAAGAATATATAAGTAAAAAATTATGACTTGAAAGAAACATGTGATGTGGTTTCTGGAACTGGGCAGGCACTAGCCTGTAGGACATAACTACAACGCTTAGACCCAGACAGATACTGGGAGACTGATTGAACGTCTGAAGCTGTCGAAGCCAATGTGAGATAGGGCATCAAACGTACCATAATTTACACTGAAAGCTTTAAGATGAAAGAAGTGGGAATGTGCTAAGTAAAACAGTAAAGGTTCCTTTACACGCAAGTGGCTCACCAGGCATATTAGGCTAGATTCACATATTCACAAAGAGACCCTCGGTGGGTGATGTAATCACTAATTACGCGGTCCGCCTTTACTTCCCATGACTTTATCTGGTACCCAAGTAGGCTGAGAAATGTAGGTGTAAAAGGTTAAAGAAGTTCTATAGCACATATAGGGGTGAGATTGTGAAGTGCTATAAACTGCAGCAGGAGAGGTGTAGTAGTAGTGCTAGCAGCTGCAATAGCAGTAGTAGAAATAGTAGTAGCGATAATGGAAGATGTAGCAGATAAATGGTAATAGCAGTAGTGGTAACAATAATAGTAGCAGTAGCCACAGTAATAGTTGTGGTAGCAGCAGCAGTGTTTTTAGTATTGATTGTAGTAAAGGCAGTAGTAGTGGTGGGTGTTAGTAATATTATTAGCAGTAGTCGACGAAGTATTAGTGGTAGTAGCAGTCATAAAAACATCCACATTCAACACGAGTTAGAACATCCAGGAGAACTGGCTCATAAACAGCATCCTGTCATGATGGCTTAGAAAAGATGGCGATGTAGCGGGCAGTTTGTAGAAAGCGAGGCAGGGGTCGACCTCCGCGAAGATGAATACAGGACATTGACGATGTATTTGCACTGAAAGCACATAGGGCTGTAGAGCTGGCTAGGGAGAGGGATACTTCCAGGCGTGTCGTGAAAAGAGCGACATTCTGTAAAGTACTTGCTGACTGATGATGATGAGTTGTCATAGTAGAAGCAATAAAGTAGCAATAGAACTATTAGCTGTAGCAACTGCAAATATAGTAATGGTGGTAGTGGTGGTGATGTTGATGGTGGCCGTGGCAGTATTAATAGTAATAGTAGAAATAGCATTAAGAAGAAGAAGAGGAGGAAGAGTAGGAAGGAGAACAGAAAGAGGAAGAAGAAGAGGAACACGAGAAAGAAGAAGAGGAGGTGGAAGAAGAAGAAGAAGAAGAAGAAGAAGAAGAAGAAGAAGAAGAAGAAGAAGAAGAAGAAGAAGAAGAAGAAGAAGAAGAAGAAGAAGAAGAAGAAGAAGAAGAAGAAAAAGAAGAAGAAAAAGAAGAAGAAGAAGAAAAAGAAGAGGAAGAAGAAGAAGAAGAAGAAGAAGAAGAAAAAGAAGAAGAAGGCCTACTATCTCGGCGGCAGGCAACGTGATTTTTTACCAAAGCTCTGACCAATGTGATTGTAAAAACATCTCTTTAAACATGCACCACCAGCGCAGAGCTCAGTACACAATCTCGCAAAAGCCTTCACTACAACATCCTGTTGAGGCTTCCAATACTAAACTTATATAATACTTATATTAACATACATCTATTCTAAAATAGCAAAACACTTATTTTCCCGTTGTATATTTAAACAAAGAAAATACTAACAATAGACTGCACAGTCTATTGCATGGATTTTTTTTTGTTTCATATATTTAATTTTGTCTGTATTATGCACATTAGAAGATACAACGAAATATGCCAGGCAATAAATTGTGCAGTCTATTGTTTGTGTCTTCTTTGTTCAAATATTCTCAAATAGGCTCTATGTATATGTTAAATAAAATACACACCGCAAATAACTCCCAGCAACGACTACAAAATATACACATTATCCACAAAACATGCAAAGAAAATAAATCCAAAGTATACAGCATAGGAAATAATCAAAACTTTGCGGTAAGAAACATCAATCATCAACCAAGAAGCGACAAAATCCCCAACACTGTTCGTCTATCTAGGTTATGGATACAATCACATTGTGTTAACGTCAAATCCGTTCAAGCTCTTTAGGTTAGCCATAAATACAGCTGCCTACCATAAGGCTGAGAAAAGCAAATACACATAGGCTGTTTTTGGCGACCGTTGGCAGTGCTTATAATCTGCCCACCAGCTGGGATATATTGGGATATGTGTGTGTGTGTGTATATATATATATAAAACAATCAAGAAAGCAAATAATCAATACTTATATCTGTGAATTGGCAATGATATGTAAAACTAATTGTGGGTTAATCGATTTTCTACTCATCAGTAAAATATAGGAGACAGAATCACGGCTGATATGCAGGATGAGTGAAATACTAGCGTTTTCTTTCGCTTCATTTTAGTTCCGGGCATTAGGAGGTGGGGTGACCAGAGTTGCTGATCGCTATCGTTCCGTCTAGGAGACATCTGTTGTATCACCTGGGTTGTCTCTTGAAGTTTCAGTGATTGGGGGTAAGACCCGCATTTGTCTTGGTATAAACGTAGGATGCTGTACCCGGAAGCTGACCAGTCGCAGTCGGCTTGGAGCACTGGTTTGGAATAATCTGAACGATAAGAAAATCAGTTTGTTGTATTGTCGTCGTCGTCGTCATCATCATCATCATTATCATAAACAGCTACATCGCCCCCATTCCTCCTCCTCATCATCATCACCAACAGTTATTGTCATCATCATCATCATCTTCATCATGATCATCATTCAACCACTTCCTGCCCTTCTTCATCATCATCAAATTCCTTCTCTTCCTCCTTGTCATCATCATCCTCATCCTCATCATCAACATTCCCGCTCTTTCTCATCGTTATCATCATCATCATTAGCATTTATCCTCCTCGTCATCATAATCATCATCATCATTCATCCTCTTCTTCCTCACCATCATCATCATTATCATTCCCCTTCTTCCT